TTAGATAGCTGAATCCTATGCCAAGATATGACTACATTTCTCTGTCTTATAAAGAATTATCACATATATGAATTCTAAGCGAGTTCGAGTGACTATAACAAAGGTCTAAAGTCGTCCCTTCTACTGACCGAACCCTCAGTTCGGGGGCCTTCGTCAACATGTTACGAAGCTCCAGTCTTCGGTGGGTCACCATTACTTGACTTAGAAAGGCGAACATCTGGGCAAGGGAAAGCGCAGTGATTCCGTCTATTTACGTAACTTCTTCATTGTGAGTCCTTATATTTGCTCGCTAATTTATTGATTCATGTATGGAGAAACAAAAAATAATATCGCAATATGAAATTCTTAACACTTGATCATATTTTCACTTTATTTTTGTTCATTCAAAAAAATTGTTTTAAAAACACCGAATTTTGGACTTCCACAATACAAATAATCATCGAGCTTCTTAAATTTCAAATGATTTGAAATAATTAGTTTTTTTATAAAGTTCAAAATATATTTCAAGTTATTTTAAATTAATTTTATCATTTTTATAATCTTTAAATAATAAATATATTTTATAAATATTCAAAAATTATCTCAAAAAAGTTTTGTTTAAATTAAATATTTGGTTAACTAATTTAGTTATATAGTAGTTTATATTTTTTGAAATAATTAGTTTATAATCGAGTTAGTTATTTTATTTCGTTAAAATCAACAAACTTGTTAACTAATTAATATCAATTCGTCTTATTTAATTATTAGCCGAACCTATCTTAACTAACTCAATATAGTTTTTAATCCCCTTCAAATCGACCGAGCCATCCATTCTTAATTCAAATAGGCATAATACATATATTGGACCGTAAATTTGACTTTAAATTTTAACTTTGATCTTCAACTTTCAAAATTGCACAAACAAACACTTTAATTATCCAACTTTTAAATAAATAAACACATGAGTTCTGCATAACACAATACACGTAGGACACCATGTAGGACAAAAATGACACGTAGGATATGTGCGTCTATTTATTCAACTTTATACAAATTTAAATATCTATTTATGCAAATATAAATATAATTCAAAACTAAGTTAAAAGGATATATTTATGTATTACCCAGCCCACTAAACTCAATTCTAAAAGAACAAAACCCATCACCAACAATACAGCATCCCTGCAGTGTCTTCTCCAGACGCCCAAAGCAACAAGCAACAGCGCGACCCAAATCGCGAAACCGACCCGAGTCCAGCAGCGACGTGTCCTCTCCTACAAAGACCGTTCGAGAATGAGCCAGGTGTTACCACCAATTTTCTTGACAAATGTAACATCTTATTAAATATCATCGTTATTATATTCTAAATTTCATTTAGACACAATCAAACATTTCTATAACAATATTATCATATCTTTCTGATTGTTATAGCAATGTTATTAAAGATGATAGTTGTTATAAAATGTCTTACCGCATAGAATATTCAATACCAAAAAAACTCATTTCATTTGCATCTTGCATTCATCCAATAAGAAGAAAATTCTCCATCTCTCTATTCTAAGCTAGGGCTTCGTCCAATATATGCTGAATTTTTCTTCAATTATCTGTATATATAAAAATAATATTGTTCCGCACACTTATTTTTAGATTATATTCTAAATATGATATCATAAAGCAGAGGAAAATGTAATAATAAAGGGGAGAAAACTAAAAAAGGATAGCCGACTTCATTATCATATTTTTTTTTTTACTTGAATTCAATTGAGATCTATTAGACCTGTACAACATAACTCTAATCAATCAAAAACAAGAAAATTCAAGATATCTCCAGTTACCCCTTTCTCTTCCCCCCTTCCCAAAACAAAACAAAATATAAATACAAACAAGAAAGAAATGAAAACTTTCATTATAATAACAATCAAAAAAGATGATCAAATTCTTTCTTGATTTTCAACTTGTTGTTGTTGTTCACCATCTTGCCATGTCCAAACAATATCTTTAAGTGATGTTTTCAATCCCTGATCAAAGAATTTCTTGTATTCCATTGTATCCCCTGATTTTTTACTCACTTCCACAACATGAAAAGAAGGCGTAATTTCGAATATCTCTGCATCAATTGCTAGTTGCCCTTTCCTTCCTTCTTTGTTACTCTGCATTGTCACTGTACCATCTTTTTTCATTATATTAAAACTCTCATTTGAAGCTACTTCTTCCAATTTTGACACTATTATAGAAGCTGGTTTTTTCGCTGTGAATCGCGCTTCTGATCTTCTCTCTTTCTCCTTTTCGAATAATCCAGAAAGATTGAAACCAGGGGAAAGAGAGATTATATCAAATGCATTTAAGCAAGTAGGCTTCATTGTTGTGGAATCTTGATTCTTTTGGCGATTGGAAGGTCCCTCTCCGTCTGAATTATTGTCCTCAATATCGAAAACACTACGAGGGGATTCACGTTGATCTTTCCCTGAATTTGGGGTTTTATCAACTTGTTTGAATCCTTTTTTGAACCAATAATTCTCCATGAGCTTAATTAAGGTGATTCTTGATCCTGGATTTGGATCAAGAATCCTTGAGAGTAACTTTCTTACCTCTGGATGGAACCATTGTGGACATTTGAATTCTGCTTTGCTTATTTTTTTGTACATTTCCATAAGATTTTGGTCATGGAATGGCAAATAACCCGCTAACAGGACAAACAAAACAACACCACATGACCAAATATCAGCCTTTTCACCATCATAACCTCTCTTATTGATCACCTCTGGTGCAACATAAGCCGGTGTTCCACACGTCGTGTGGAGTAGACCATCTTGCCTTTTCGAATCAAACAATGCACTCAGACCAAAATCCGAGACTTTCAGATTGCCACCTGTTGCACGAAAACATGATTAAGTAAATAAAAATGCACTCCTCTCGCGACTCTTGTATAAAATTTGAACACTACCTTCGTCAAGGAGGAGATTTTCAGGCTTGAGATCACGGTGGTAGACATCACGGCTATGACAGAAATCGACTGCAGCGATTAACTGTTGAAAGTATTTTCTTGCAGCATCTTCTTTAAGTCTGCCTTTAGCAACCTTATTGAAAAGTTCACCACCTCTAACATATTCCATAGCAAAATATATTTTTGTTTTGCTCGCCATAACCTCATAGAGCTGGACAATATTTGGGTGTTTGATTAGCCTCATGACGGAGATTTCACGTTTCGTTTGATCAATTAACCCAACCTTCATAATCTTCTCTTTGTCAATCACCTTAATAGCAACACTTTGCCCTGTTTTGAGATTTCTAGCATGGTATACTTTTGCAAATGTACCCTGCCCAAGCAATTTCCCAATCTCATACCTTTGCATCAAAATATTGCCTTTCTTATCGTTCTTCGAAGTCATCCTGAAGAAGAAATTGGCAATACAATTGAGACAAATTATTTTTTCTTTTTAATTTTGTTGAGGATTCATTGCCATTGTAATCGTAATCTGTTTGGAACAGAGGCGTAGTTGTTATTGCATGGAGATTAAGGAGCCCTTTTTGTTTTGTTGAAAGATTTGGAATATTGATGAAATTACAAGGGAAAAAGAAGGGCAAAAACCTTGCCTTATTTGTGGCAGGGTTAGAGGAAATGCCTATAGGAGAAAGTAGTCTCAATTAGTATGGAGCAAACTTATGGCAATAAATGCACTACATTTCATTGTGTTTGATGCAGAGGGGAAATTTGGTGAAAGTTAGTTAAGATATGACCATATCCTAACATGCATTATTCATTTTGCACCTCTCATTTTTCCATTTTCTTCTCCCCATGCCTCAACTATTCATCATAAAATGGATTTTAGATTAAAATATATTAATTTCATGTGATTTTATTCCATTTCATAAAAAAAGAAAGAGCTACATTTAATTATAACTTTCACCATTTTAAACATCAAGTCTTATCTTAAGTACAAAATTTAAATTTCGCAATTCTTAATTGATATACTGAATTCATGACATCGTTACTATACTAGTACTACATTTGCCCTTGTATTTCAAGCCAAAGAAACTAAAACACATAGTACTTTAATTTCCAAAGATTCTAGTGCTTCAAAACCACATAAAATTAAAAGACATTTCATACGTGATTATAATATTCAAAAATCCAATAAGTTAACAGGTCGGTAATCGAGTCACATCAATATTATTTGTAGACCAATACAATGTGTACACCATACATTGGAACAAACTAATGGGAGGACAGGTATATTAAAGTGTCAACATATGGTGAGCCCACCTTTACATGTGACTTATCAATAATGTTTTAGCAATATGCATGATCATGCAGGTATCGATCGCTACCATACAATTTAGATACATATATGTGGCTGAAGGAAGATGAAGTGGACTAGTGTCTGATGCTAGTGAATGATATATTTTTTGTCACTATTAAGCATCTCACAACTCACTATGTTAGGTGTTATATATATTACTAAAAGGTTAGGAGGTGTAATATTATTGTGTAGAAAGAAATAATCTAAAAAGCGTTAATTTTTTTTTTTAAAAAAAATTATTTTACTCATCATTAAGGCATGCCACGTACGCAGATTGAAGATCCTCATTTTTATATATATATTATAAATTTATTGATTGATTTTGTTTAAGCGTTCTAGTAAAACTTTCAGTTTTCTTGAGGAAACTTTTGTAATTGAACAGAAGTCGTCTCTATCCCCATTACACTTCCAATAAATGTTGAAGCAACAACCAGGCACATCGCATATACAGATAAATTTAGATTTTCATTTAGGAATTTGAAAAATAAAAATATAAACGTATAAAAAAATTTTAAAAATGAAATCTTGATTTTTTCGGTTCCTTTAAAAATTACTTTATATATATCGTGTAATTTTCTATCGAGGGTGTTCAAGTAAATCCATGTAGACCACGTGAATCCGGCCCTGAGTGGGATGGAGGAAACAAACTGGATGCTACAATTTTGTTCTTGAGATGGACTCACGAATCATCAAGGATATGGTTGTTGGAAAGAATAACAATAACCTGAAACTGAAGTCATGCTTATATTAAAGTGGTGTAATGCTTCGGAGAAGCAAATCAGGTAGCACCACAATACATGGCTTTATATTGAGGGTGCACTAACTTTAACCAGAAAAATTCACCCATACATGTTTTTTTTTTCCTTCCCATTTATTATCATAAAAAAAAATAATTAAAAAGAAGTAGATTGATTACTACTGTTTATGCTGCTGATCCCTCTTCTCTCCCCATTGTTGCACACAAAACCTCATTTTCTTAGCTGCTGTTAAGTACTCCACCGCTTGAACCGGTTCAAGTAGGTTCACTATTGCCTTCAACGTTTTCATCCTCAGTCGATCACCTTCTTCAATAACATCCGCCATGTGTCTACTATGTTCATCCAAAGCTTCATCCGCTTTCTCACAACCATGTCCCTCTTTTTTCATCTTCCCCACAAGCCGTTGATCCGCTATGTCCTCTTGTAAACTAGCAAATTTATTCGAAATCCTCCTCTCTTCTGCAATCGTCTTGCTTTGCAAATCGTTAACCATGCTCAACTGTTTCCCACTTAGTTCGCGGAGCTTCCTGCTTACGATCCCCTCAAGACACGGATCAGTTTCGTTGGCGTCAGGTTCAAATTCGGTGAGGGCATAATGAGTCGAATGAAAGAAGAAGGTCTACAGCCAGCGATCCATAGGACCGAACTCTCCGAGGAAGAGCACGAGGCGGGGGCGAAGAATGGGGACACGTCTTTTCGGGCTAGATGGAGACGCTTCTCAGAGTGCTCTTGGAAGTGTTTTATGATTTTTTCTATCAGTTGTCTCAGTTTTTCTTCATCTTTTTCATTGTTATTGACATGACCTACAGCATGTTCAAGTTCCGTCAGTTCTTCGTGTTGAAGACTCTTCCAAGCACACTCTGCGTATTCTTCTTCCTTGCGATCACTGCTGTTTGAATCAGTTGCCATTAATTTTTTCTTATTAGTTTTTTCAATATATGATAATTTATTAACAAGTATGTTTGTCTGCTGCTTCAGTGTTAACTCGTAAGAAAACTCATAAAGGGATGCATATTATATATATAAGGCTTAATTACTTGAGTTGGGGGTGGTGTGTGTGCTGGGAGTAAGAAATATAAGCTAGCGAAAGTGTTTTGATTAAATTTATGACTTTCTTCTGGCATATTTACTTGGTCTCGTTTCATTTGATCGAGAATTAAATGATTAATATTCTTTTGTGTAGTATATTCTTTAATTACGTAATTTAATTATTAAAATATTAAATTATGTTAATTTTAAAAATAAATTAAATTAACTTTAAATAAATGTAATACAAATATTATCGGATGATGGATGCAAACTTATCGTCTAACGCACTCCTCTAATAAACCCCATGACTTAAAAAGGAAATCCAATATTAAATCAAGTGAATGAGGTCAAAACTAAAAAGAAATTTTGTGTGTATATATAAGAAAAAGAGGAGAGTGGTAGTAGTTAACGGTGGGTGTTGATGACTATCATATTTCAATTTACTTTACTTGTAAGACAAATAATACATGTGATGAACATATATCTGTCTAGACACAGACAAAAAAATAAAAATCAGCAAGCTCCGGGAATTGATTCCTCTGTAGAGTAGTGCCAACCTTATAGCAGCTTGTCTAAGTTGTCAAGTAGCTTTTTGAATTAATGATGACTTGACTTATACGTATTTATTACAAGTCAATTAATTAATAGGGTTCCTTAAATGGTAAAAAAAGTAACCGCTTAAAGTAAAACGGTTTCTTTGAGAGGATTATTTTTGCCGAAAACAAGAAGCCGCGGGTGAAAACATTTTACAGATGAAGAAATAAAACGAACTTATACAAGCAAAACCAAATTCAAGCATAAAATTAATTATCAAAACTTAGTACTACTATAAAAAGCAACATGCATTAGTTTTTTTGCCCTTCCCCATTTATTATTTTTTTAAAAAAATAAGTAGAACGAACTACTCCTTATGCTGCTGATCCCTCTTCTCTCCCCATTGTTGCACACAAAACCTCATTTTCTTAGCTGCTGCTAAGTATTCCACCGCCTGAACCGGTTCAAGTATGTTCACTATTTCCTTCAGCGTCTTCATTCTCAGTCGATCAGCTTCTTCAATTACATCCGCCATGTGTCCACTATGTTCATCTAAAGCTTCATCCGCTTTCTCACAACCATGTCCCTCTTTCTTCATCTTCCCCGCAAGCGGTTGATCCACCGTGTCCTCTTGTAAGCTAGCAAATTTCGTTGAAATCCTCCTCTCCTCTCGAATCGTCTTGCCTTGCAACTCGTTAATCATCCTCAGCTGTTTCTCAGATAGTTCGCGAAGATCCTCGGTTACTATCCCTTCAAGGCACGGATCAGTTCCTTGGACGTCGGGTTCGAATCCACAGAGAGCATAAATGAGTCTAATGAAAGAAGAAGGTCTACAGCCAGCGATCCATAAGACCGAATTCTCCAAAGGTGAGCACGTGACCGGTGCGAAGAATGGGGACACGTCTTTTCGGGCTAGACGGAGACGGTTGTCAGAGTGCTCTTGAAAATGTTGTATGATTTTTTCAGCGAGTTGTGTCAGTTTCCCTTCATCTTTTTCACCGTCTTGGATTTGAGCTGCAGCATCTTCAAGTTCGGTTAGTTCTTCGTGTTGAAGACTCATCCAAACACACTTTGCATATTCTTGTTCCTCACGATCAGTTTTTTTTGAATCAGTTGCCATTTTCTTCTTCTTCTTCTTCGGAGTAATTAATTAACAAGTTAGTTTCACATATGTGGTATAAGGAGATATATATATATATATAAGGCGGAATGATCTGAGAGACAACTCGGGGTAGGCGGGCGGAGACATCATATAAATCCGATATTGAGAGGAGGACAAAAACAGCCGAATAGCACCACCTTCATCTTAATTAAGTAACGTCAAAGTATTTGGTTGGACTTTAAAACAATCGTGCTTTCCCCTAAGTCATTTAGTATTTTTTAAATGAAATTATATTATGATTATAAATTTTAAATTAAATTAGTTAAACCAGACTTTGGATAATATGGTCATATGAGTATTGTAGGACAAAGGGAGCAACAAATAGGCTAAATATATTTCTATGAAAAACTCTGAGTTCAAGGGAAAAGAATGTTTCTAGCCTTAAATCAAGTGAATGAGTTTAAAACTAATACTCCATCCCGTTTAAATTATTATTTCATAAGATATTATAAAAGACGATTTTTGATAAGATATTATAAATGACGATTTTTGATAAGAGTGTTAAAATTTTTGGAATGAAGAAAATATTATATAAATAAGAAAAACAAAGAATGGTGAGTGGTGGGAGTGGATGACTATCGTATTTCATTTTGTAAATTAAAAAATTGCAAAGTGAGGAACATATGTGTCTTAACACAAACAAAAATATAAAAGTCAGCCAGCTCCGGGAATTGATTCTTCTGCAGAGTAGTGCCATATATAGAAACGCATATAATAATTTAATTACAAACAGACTTTTAAAGTAGTATATAATTATAAAAAAGAAAAAAAAAAGCAAATTGTCGAAGTTGTAAGTAGCTTCCTGAATTAACTTACCAGTAACTTCTACAATACTTTATAATTAAGTAACTTTGCAAATAGTTTCATCAAAATTACTTATAGTAGACAAATTCTTGGCTCTTGCTAGTAGCTTTTTGAAGTAATTAACTTATAATTAATGACGCCTTATGGCTTATATATACATAACTTTGCAAAATACTAACTCTCTTTAAAATAGCTTTCAGGTATCTCATACTAGAGTTTTTAGATAGAGGCTTCTGAAAATATAGGTTACAATGCAGTTCCTCCAAGTAATTAAAATGATTAGACGAGGTATTTAAGGGTGTTTCAGTATGAAAAAAATATTTGCTTTCAATCTTCTTATATTTGTCTAGTAAAAAATTTTAAGTGTACTTTATTCAGAATAATACACTCTTAAATAATTTCTTTTTTAAAAAAAAAAAAAGTTTCACAATAATATACCACGCACCCTTTTTAACTTTAATACGTGGAAATCATGTTTCCTATCATTTCATGCATTAAAATCCAGCACATCACGTGATTTGAAATGCATTTACGTTTGTTTGTTTCTTTAATTTACATAAGTTTGATGCCTTCCAATAAATCTATAATATCGCCTCCGCTTCTTTAGGTCTCAAGATATCCTCATTTCTATCTTTTGGCTCAATAACAAATATATATATATATATATATATATATATATATATTAGATTTTAAATTTAATTTTAAATTTTAATTTTAGTGTTCAATTTTTACAATGCACAACAAACACTTTAACTATTTAACTTTTAAATAAATAAACACATGAGTTCTATATGATATAATACACGTAGGATCAAAAAATTACATGTATGACATGTATGTTTATTTGTTCAACTTTAAACAAATTTAAATGTTTATTTATGTACAATCAAAATTAAAAAACATAAATATGATTTGAAGTCAACTTAAAAAACACATTTATGTTTATGCCTCAAATTTGTATGAAATTCATGTCTGACGTTTTGTTTATTTATTGATTATTAATTTAAACTATTTAAATTTGCGTCATTACCAAATTCGCTTCTCTACTATTTGATCCACCCATTAAAATAAATCTTTTCCATTTAACCCAAACAATACTTTGTTCCCTCACTTCATATTTCATTTCCTTCCTTTTTATTTTTAATTTGTGAAAATGGATTCCTTAAGCCGTTATAATTCATATCTTACAATAAATTGTCATTTTGGTTTCACTTTTACAAAATTCGATGTACTGATGAAGAGAAAAATCGAACTATCTGGGAATTTCAAAATAAAATCAAGATCTTCTTTTCTTCTTTCGTAATTTTTGGGAGCTTTGAAATCGACAAGTTCATACTTAGAGATGTTAGTTTGTTAAGTTTGAATTTGATTCTATGCTGTTCTTTTTGTGTGTTGAAAACTAGCTAAATACTGAAGAAAACACTGGATATTTTAAACTCATGAAACCTTCATAAAATTCGGTCATTCATCATGAACTTTGATCTCGATTTGAACATTTGATTTTTACATTTGTTGTTCATTTAAATCTAAATCTGTTGGAATTTGGTTCTTAAGCTCAAGTGTGATTGAGTGTACTATAACCTGTTTTTTTTTTTTTTTTTAGAAGTGACCTAAAGTAGTCACTGATGAATCTTGCCTCGATGTTTTTTGAATTTGAATGTTAAAATCAGCTATCTAGTATTTGACTTTGACATAAACCTTAAGAAGCAGTAAATAGTAAAATTAATTTTATGAAATCACTCTGATTAAATATAAGTCATACCAAGGATAAAATAGATGCAAATTGATAGATTATTTATTCATTTTTAAAATTAAACAAGTACTATTGGAAATTTCGAAAAGTACAGTGGATAAATGAAGATGGACGTAGTGGCAGTATATATAACCATCAAATTAAAGCTCAGAATTAACATAAAGAGAGAAGACGAAAACTCCATGGAAGCCAATAATGAAGCTTGAAGAAGCTTCACGGTCAACGAAGACTCAATTCAGTTGAATACCGAGTATAGAATTTTTAGTTGGATACCGAGTTATCAGTTTTGTGTTGAGGCCCGTGTTGGGTAATTAGGCTTGATGTAAAATAAGTTCATAAAAATTTGACAGCTAATTAATGATTAATACATTAGAAACTGAGCCGTTAGAAATAAGAGTATTTTTGAAGCAAAAGATTACCATTAAACATATTAATAGGTCAAAAAATGTACGAAGGATAGTTTTTCTTTTACCTGTTAAAATAGTTAAGGGATATTTTAAGCCTTTTAATTTATTTTTTGTTTTTTTATTTGATTTTTAAAGTTTATATTTAAGCTCTGACTAAATTCGAATTACGCTCTACAGGAATGATGCTCCCAACGGGATTTTCTCCATATATTAGGACTTGAACCTTTAATTAAGGGTGAAAAACTCTCACTAACGCACCACAACTCATGTTAA